GTATATTCTGTGCACGCGCGCACACACACGCACACACAATTTCATTAGGCTGCAGGAGTGCGACAGGAGGAAACTGGGGGGGAAACTATCACCGGTTGCGTATGGACCGTCTCACCTCAGTGAGGGCAGACTAACTGACGCGCCGCCGTCCCAAAATTTACCTCCCCTTCCTCCACTTTGTTCTCGATTAAGTGTTAGGTAGGTATGTCCGCCTGCCAGCCTGCCGGGCCTCTGTTGTCCAACGGTGCATCAGGCACTCAGTCGTCCTTAACCACACTTTCCCACACTCCATCTCCTCTTTAGTGTGCCATAAATCTGTCAGAAATAGTCTCTGGCCATTGCAAAATAGAGAGGAAAGGGAGAGTGCAGAGATGGGCATTTCCATGACAGAGCTCCACGAAGCTCCACTGTTCACCTCTGGTTAACTGCGCTAATAAGCATGGATTGGTTATTGCATGTATGTTCATTCTGATTTAAGTTGAAATGTTTTTCAGGGTTTTTATGTGTGAAAGATCTTTCATGCAGATACTTTGGTTTCAGTATTCATCATTACATGGACTTGAAAGAACATATCATGTAAATATAATGAAATTATATACAGTATATGTTAAGTTAGGGCTGCACAGTTAATCGAGATATTATTGAAATATGGCCAAATGTAATCACAGAAGCTGCAATTGTTTGATAAAGATAAAATGTGTGAAGCACTACAGTACTTCATTATAAAGCTGTTTTTGTCAGAGATGCCCTGGCCTACAGATTTTAAAAAAGCACATTCGTTTGGTGAAAATGTAATTTCTAATGCAAAAATGATAATTTCCACACATATGGCATTGGTTTTCACCATGAGTAAGGGTTAGAGCTCCCTTTTGAAAAAAAGAAAAAACCCAAGGTCTATGACTAAATGAATGAAGCCATTTCACACAGAAGCCATTCTCATTGCAATAGTTATTTGTAATGGTGATATGAGCCAGTGAATCCTATTCAGAGCTGTTACCTTTTGTCATACATTTAAAATGATATTCACAAATGACAAATGTTGAGCTCCGTTGTCAGAACCTTGTCAACTCACACCAAAACAGAACAGATAAAGGTTGCTCAGGGTAACAGAAAAACTGTGTTATAGTATTAATTGCCCTACGTCTGGTCAATTATTTCCCTCATTGTGTTCTCATTTCAGCAAAAATAGTCTGAAACAGCTTTTCAATCGCAACTTAAACCACTTAACAGTGCAATGTCAATTTTACCAGTCGATGGACAGTGTGCACTTCCTGTCTGTGCTCATCACAACTGTCTGACAGGGCCATTTGTCGCCCCAGGCAACCCTTAGTAAGGCTTACCATGGAGACCAGCTTGTGCCAGCAGGGATTGGCTGGTTTTCAGGTTCAGGTTTGTAGCATCATCACGTCATCACTTTCCCTTAGGAGAGCACCGTCAGAGAGTAATGATAGTCTCTGTGGTAGCATCAATCTTGTTACTGCAAGCAGTCATATTTCACTTTTAACTTCTAATGAAAGTGTTCCACTTTAAGTAATATCTCCCTTTTTTTCCCTTGGTTTTGATCATACAGGCAGGTGCAGTAACCTGAGAGGTACAGCACTGGAGAAAAGGAGGATTATATGGTTTCTAGATGAATTAAATGTTCACTTCACAGAATGCAAAACACGTTTCACAAGTATGCTCAGAGTGAAACCTGTTAGCATGCTGAGGTTTTTGTGCTCTCTTTTGACAATGAATTTCAGTCCAATTAAAGTAATCTTCTTTGGAATGTAATTTGGTGGAATGTGCAGCTCTCTTCCTGTTTTGGGGTCTCCTGTGATATTCCATACTGCGCTGTGTGTTTTATACTAAACAGCAACATATTCATTTGAAACAATGCAGACACATAGAGTGCATGTAACACACAGTGCATCTGTGACTATACACTCCCAGTGCTGTGACATCACAAGGCGGTGATGTGAGGAGCTGGTTACTATGGAAACTACCTATATGAGGGGGCTGCGCTGGTTAGAGTAGACTGACTGATAGGTGCTGGTTGGCCCAAAGTAAATCCGTCTCAGAGGGGTCCTACATTCCTGTGTGTGTGTGTGTGTGTGTGTGTGTGTGTGTGTGTGTGTGTGTGTGGCGTGTGCGTGCGTGCTCTTATTTATGCGAGCAGAGTTCAGACAGTCACAAGGTGCTGGATAAATGAAGACGTGATTGTACTACCACTTGTATGAGTCTTAGTTCCTAATCTTGTAAGCTGGTGTGCAAAAGAATGGACTTGCCTTTGCAGGCAGAGGCTAATGAGATGTTGGAGGGATGCTGCTCCTGCCAAGTATTTTTCTAGCTGCTGTGAAAAATTATCAGCTGCACAGTCTCATTGCACACATCACTGCACGCTGTCTATATTCAGTCCGAGTTCATTCAGCACGTCTTTCTGATTTGCCATGTTGATGTGGCTACAAATGAATCGGCACTTGTCCCCAAGGTGCTCTTACAAAGGCTTTTCATTAAGCACATGGCAGTCAAATAAATTCAGATAGCTGTACTCCATTTCTGTTCACCCTGTCAGCTGCTGTTCACTGGTTGTTTTCATTATTTCCCTTCACTGCTGTTCCAAAGGTCACTTAACAGACCGCAGCAAAGGAATTCAGTGAGATGTTCATGCAAAAGTTCACCGTCAATAGCAAATAACAGCAAAACTCATGGTTTACCATTAGAAAGTTCATCATCATTGATTCTAACAAAGGCATGAAGTGAATATTTCTGTGCCAATCTGCTTTTAATTAGGATCATGATGCAAGTCGATGTTAATCTGATTCTTGTCTAATTCTCATTTCAGCCGAGGTCCTATTTCCTTTTTAGCTGTGTTTGTGTGTTTACCATCCATTGGTCATGTTAGCCACCAGGGCAACAGTTCAAGCCCAGAGGAATGCCTGAGGTCTCTTGACAGGCTTGGCCTGCTCCGGTTCCATGAACACACTTTAGACTAGACATCATGTATTTCGCTTCTTATTTGTTTGATGGGGAGGTGGGGCCTCGGTTTGTGGCCATGTGGTGCACTTTTAATAGACTGCAGAGAGAAACAGCTCAATCAGTCACAGAGGAGGCTTGTTTGTATTGGTGTGCTTTTCTGTAGTGTTTGTGTTTTAAGCCATCTGCAGTAGCAAATGTATTTTTATCGTGCAAAAGGTGGACAGAATCAGCATAAACAACCACGCAGCAAGAAACACAGAATCAAAATCGCACTCGTAGCCTTGATGCTATAATTTATTGATACAAGCATTGCATGGTCTTTTCCCAAAAGACGAGCTTATTGTCAAAACGTTGGATCCATCAATAAATCATAGCATCAAGGCCACAAGCCTGTGTGTGAGTGTGATGGCTGTCTTTTGAATATCTGTGTAGACCATGCAGGCCAGGCTAGTTAATGGAAGCTATGGCAAACTTTTCTTTTCAATCTCTAACCTGTCAACTAGTGTGTGTATGTGTGCGTTATGTTTGTATGCAAGCGTAAAATGCCCCTGCTCGTGTCCTTCACACAGTGTGTAAGTGGACTCTGAACAGCAGGAACTCAGCCCGACCAGATGGTGCTTCCAGGTGGAGCAGCTTGACATGCGTAAAGGGACAGCAGTTAAGAGTCTGTCTCTGTCTGACATACATAGACATCACTTGCCTCCAAAATTGGTGGGGGGGAAGTTGCACTGGCGTGTGTGTGTGTGTGTGTGTGTGTGTGTGTGTGTGTGTGTGTGTGTGTGTGTGTGTGTGTGTGTGTGTGTGTGTGTGTGTGTGTGTGTGTGTGTGTGTGTGTGTGTGTGTGCGTGCTCCTGCTTCTCTTTCCACTTGTTACTGACATGCATCCAGGGTTATAGCATAATAATTACAGTAAATTAAATCCATCATTTAAACTACTTTTTATTTGAGGTCATTCACATTTCACACAAATTTACATACAAAGTAAAAGTGTGCGTCCTGCTCATAGTTTAGGTATAAAATCCCATCATGCCACAGTGTCTCTCCTGCCAGGATACTGTGCTTCACACTGGAGGGCAGTAGAGGAGGTTCTACCAGGGTCTGGTTTAAAAGTGGTTTAGCTGACATTACTAACAGTCTGTGTTGGAGCAGCCAGCAGACTGGAGTCCGGGTGCCCTGCACCAGGCTGTTTGGTGCCGAGCTGATTTGACTGACAAAACTGCGACTTGGGATCAGACTCAGCTCATCAACTTTTAGGGGGGAGCCCTGGTGAGCTGTATTGAACTGTTATAAATCTGACTGTTGATCTACAGCTGGGCATTTTATTCACAGCAGACATTTTGACTTGTCCCAGTAGGAAAAGCACAAGTGTTACTAATAACATTAACAATAGCTCTGTTCTGCTCAAGTGCCCTGGTATTGAGCCGGCATTCACAATGCCAGGATCATAAAACTAAATGGAACCCAGTCATCATTCAGTTTATATTTACACTGCCGTTCCTACTGTGATGTGTCAAAGTATCTTGCCTTAAAATGCCTATTGGAAAGCTTGTACCATTACTAAATCTTAAAGTAGCAGCTTTAAGTGTATTCACTAAAGGTAAAAAATAAAGCAACTATCCTGACAGTTGTGTGAAAGTTATGCAACTGTCACGACTTATAATTTCTCTCTTTTTTTGGGGGGGGTTAAGTAAATGAGAAATTGATTTCAGTGTGTGTAATAGAGACTGATGCAAGATTTTGCAATGCCCTACAGTGTATAAACTGATGTACACATAGTTCAGTGAGTTGTTGACTGCACTATTAGCGCCATCTCTTCCTTTAACACCCACTGTCACTCATTCACTTTGATAGGTAGCAGCAGCAATGGCGGCGAGGAGAGAATTTCAACTGGAAACTGCTCAGCTAGGTCACAAATGCATTCCATGTTTTTAAAAAGGGGCTTTTGAGGATGGATGGCACACTTTGACGCAGTTACACACACGAAAGCCTGTACTCACTGTTTGGACCCTAACCATGTCTTACGTGTCTCTTGTCCCTCTCAGCGGAGCCCCTCCCCCTCATGGACCTGTGCAGACGAGTAGCTCGACTGGCTCTGGGTAGAGAGCGCATCCATCACATCGACACACTCCCACTGCCGCAGACTCTCAAGAACTACCTCCAGTACCAGTGACCACACACACACACACACACACACACACACACACACACACACACACAGATGGGAATAAACTGTGGCCCACTTGTTCTTATGATAACCAGCCTCCAAACTGAACTAAATCCTAAACATCAGACATCTGCTGAGGATACGGACGGTGACATTGACTACGAACAGGTGTTGAAGACGGCGCTGCAGGGGGTTTGTTTACAACAGTTGGGGTTTTTCCATTTTGTCTGTTTTTATCTTCTGTTTTTCATCTTTTTTTTTTTTTTTTGCTGCTGACTGCTGTCTGTCACCTGGACAGATTACTAGAGGAGCTGATGAATGAAACGAAGGGAGTACGAGATTAAAAGAGAATATTGCAACCCAGTTTCCCGTGAGTCGCATTTTTAGAAGTCAGACTGCATGCCCTCAGTCTGAAAGGCCTTGTACACTGTGGTTTTGGGCAACAGTTTACGCATAAAATCTGTTGTGCACAGACTCTGTGGAAGCCTCCTCGGAAACATGTTGGTATTTATATTTATATTCCAAACAACACAGCAGGCTCTGTGGAGACGCAACAATCCCTCCAAGCCACAGGAGAAAGAGAGTGAGAGAGAGAGAGGAAGTCCACACACAGTTCTATTTTTGTGTGTGCACAGTGCAGCACACATGATTACATATATACAGTGTGTGTGTATAGAAACAAAGATCTAACTGTCTGTAGTAGGAGCACAGCTCACTGACGAGCAGGCAGTTACCACCTACAGGCTAAAAAAACAACTCCTCCAGTCTGGTTTGAACTTCTCTCTCTCTCTTCCTCTCCTTCTGTCTCTTCATCACTCGCTCCAGTTTAAGCTTTCGTCGTGTTTGTTGGTCGGCTCTGTGGCTCCTGCAACACTGGTAGAGATTGATCCGAAGGTGAAAGCTGTGTCTGTGACTGCTAATGTGCCTGCTCTAACACACACACACACACACACACACACACACACACACACACACACACACACACACACACACACACACACACACACACACACACACACACACACACACACACACACTCACAATCACATGGCACTTCTGTGATATCAGAAGACACTTCTCCCCCCCCCAAAAAAGTTTTAAATGCTGCTTTTCTATCTTTTTCTTCCACCGTCTTACCCACATGTGGGTTTTTATTCTTGATTTACTTTTGAAAGTTATGGTGTTATGAGATTTTTTTTCCCCCTATGGATTTTGAGATTTGTGGGACAGGATGTTTCGCAGGTATAGGCGGAAGAATGTGCTGCCATGAGAATCTTTTTAAATGTGAAATAAGAATAAACTCTGCTAAACTCGCACTGCCTCGCTTCCTGTGATTTCTGATTACCATCAATGGCCCCTTTTTCACAGCAGCCAGGTGTCACCAATGATTCTGATTCAGGTTTTGTTCCATTTAGTGTAGCAGAGCCTTTCCAGTGAGCCAGCATGCACAATTGCAGCAACCTGACTCAGTTTGACCTGAATGGAATGGAGCCTTAATTACTATCATTTGTAACACCTGTGTTTACCCTACTCTTTGGCTGCGTTCACACTGCAGGTCTTAATGCTCAATTCAGATTTTTTGCTGAGATCCCATTTCTTTGCGTAGTTGTTCACATTATATTAAATGTGACCGCCATCAGACTCCAGTGTGAACAGTGTACGGCCGAAGTGACCCGCACACCACGCCATATTTACGGACGTTAATATGGATGCTACACGTGTGTGTGTGTGTGTGTGTGTGTGTGTGTGTGTGTGTGTGTCTGTGTGTGTATCAAAGTATTTGTGCCACTTTTGCCTACAGTGTGAACGTAGCCTTTCATGTCAGTTGCTGCTGTAAATACGGCATATTCCAGAACAATAGGTGTTTTGATCCCAGGTTGTGCCATCTTAATTGACTGTTCACTAAGCCCCGCTCCTGAACAGGGACTGTCTAATAATAGCTTAGCAACAGTAACATAGCAGGCCTCTGACACCTTGTTCACATGTTGAAGCAGTGTACAGGGGATACAACTGAAAGGACATTTGCTAAGATATTCTGTGGGGTTACAGGTTACGTTAGACACTTGTTATATTAGAACAAATAACACCTCTAATTATGATAGTGTACTACAATACTAGGGATAACTAGTTCAACCCTGCAATACACGATGTGTATTTCTGTCTTCAACGTGGATCATCATGAAAAATTAAGGAGTTGAAGTTTTCAATCAACTCAAGAGTTTTACCAATAGATTCCAGTAGCTGGCTACAGCTGGTAAAATCAGTTGATAGCCGACACAGGACCTACTGTTCCCAGATTATACAGTGAATTTGGAGTCTGCTGCAGGCATGGCTGTAAAATCTGTGCAATGTGAGAACAGCTTGACAGACATGGAGCTTATCAACTGGTCAAAGTTTTCCTCTTTTAATTTAGTGGTAAAAACCTAATTTTTTTGAAATGAATGTTACTCTATGAACACTGATAATGTCATTAACACATACCACAAAGGTTTACTACGGGAGAAAATCTGCCGCCACAGCCCCAGATGCAGGTTTTGCTGTAGAGTCTAGATGAGCTGGCTCTAAACCACATTCCCCATCCCGGGGCAGGCTTTGAACACAACAAAGCCTGTTGTGTGATCAAAGTTCAGCTCAGCGTGGCTTTTTCCTTGGCACTACCAACAGTAAATCCATTAATGTTGTGCAGCAGAGAGCAGCCTATGTCGATAATATCATAATCGCACTGAGAGGCATCGCTCCCTCTGCTTTTAGAGGGAGATGACCGGCACTAACGCAGGAGAATTGATGGACATGGACGTTTAATGCTTTAATAATGAGGACGTAAATGTGAGTACTGAACAAGGTTTGATGAGGATAACTGGCTGAGCGCTGTACACATGTTCATTAACGCTTTGACATCAAAATAAACTCAAATACTGAAATGCAAGTCACTCTAAAGGGACCTCTGCAATTGATCCCCAGCTGTAGCATGTTGCCTGCCTCAGCATATAGCGCTGTTCAATAATGCAGGGAGCAACCCTTTAAAAGGATTATTGAACGAGCCTGAAAGTTAAAGCCAGCTGATGACTTGTTTGATCTGGTTAAAAGTGACTCGGCTTTGCCAGATCCATATTTAGCTGCCTCCTGACAGTGAGGCTTCACTTCAATTCATCTCGCTGTCTTTTCCTCTGCCTCCTCTGCTCCACCACCTTATTTTTTTTTTTTTTTTTTGCCAACTTTCGCTTCTGTCTCCCTTTTACGCCGCTCTGCTCAGGCTATTTCAATCCTCCCATCCCCGTTTTCCTTTCCTCAACGTATTTGCCATCGTAGGGCTTTATCTTCTGCCTCACCTGCTTTGACTGGAGGTGTGTTTCAGTTGAGAGGAGTGTTTGAGAGAATAATTGTCTGTCACACTGTTTCTCTTCCTTCTTTCCACTCTTTATGCATGCATGTTATACATATGCATATATGGAGAGTGGCAGAGTGAGCTGGGGAGGAGATGGATGGTTGGAGGCCGGCCGTCTACTACAGAGACAGGCACAGATCCATAATTTATGGGGGGGAAAATCCTGCCCCTGCTTTCCTTGGTAAGTCATGTAAAAGCTTACATTTTGTATACTTGTCTTGACTCTCTCCTCCAGATCACATGGAGATATCTTCAGAGGACAAAATTCCTCAAGTAAGGGATGTTTCTTTGACCTACTTCGGGAATTTGTACACAGTCACAGATAAGGATGTGACTGTAACACATTTATGTTCTTCAGTCTATGTTCTGCACCAACATCAAAGATGCATTAGCTATTCCACTTCTGTTGACGTTTGGGTTGTAGTTTCAGAACATGAACATATTTGTATATTTTCTACTTTAAATCCCATTGCAAGAAATATGATTATAAATAATATAACATTTTGCTCTTAATTTTAAATCTTGACAATGTGAAAATGTAGAGAATGTAAAGCCACTGTGGGTGTATGAAGACAGACAGCTACCCAATCTCCCAAGAGGAAGAGGTTTGGTTCCAGAAGTCAATAAAAAATCCCTGAAATATTAAATTGTGATTTTGGGCTTTATAAAAATAAATAAAATTTTACTTGAAGTTATTGGGGCAACTAAGAAATTTCTCTAAAATTGGTTTTCCATTTAAGTTTTCCTTATTATATGTTATACTATCTTTACTATAAAGTGCACCGTGCTGTACAAAACCTTTTCAGCCCTGAGTAGTGTCTACAGGTATTCCTTTCACCAGCCTCTAGCAAGAAGTTAGGACAGGCTGCTTGTAGCCTGAGAGGCAAGACTGAGAGCACAATAGAGTCTCCCAAGCACTTGTATCAGTAACTAAAGGTTACTCAGATGAGTGTATGAAACTTTTTAACAACTTATCTCACCTGGACACTGTTCAGAGGGACTTAAGTAAGAAAATCAACCTGAAACAATAAAAGTGATTTGTTCTGAGTTTGACCAGTGGAAATTCCACCCGTGCAATATCCCCACTCCCACACATCTGTCCTGGGCACAGAGAACTGATGAAGTGAAACCGAAACAGCACTGTATCACTGGGAATGTTTTACTTTTCAACATACTGGAACTTCTGCCATTACAATCATTTTGAAGATGTTATCACATCAACATTTTATAATGAATTTCAGGACTGCCACCAACTATTATTTTCATGATTAATGGATTAATTGTTCAGTTGATACAGTCACAAAGTAGTGAAAAGTGATTATTTGCCAAAGCTCAAGTTGATTTAAAGTGCTTGTTTGAACTCTATAGGTTTACTTTCAGTTCCTTCAGTCACTTACAGTACTGTTATACTGTGATGCTGGAAACGTAATCGATTATTGTAGCTTTAATTAAAAACATTCAGCACAATAGGATGTATTGCTTAAGTATTCTCCCCCTTAAAGTTAATGTTTTACTGGCCCTCTCCTGTATATTGCATCCTGTCTGCCAATAAGGACACACACTGCAGGAGTTGGGTGAAGTCTATCTCTTCCTTCAACTTCCCACACAGGTTGCTCCATGGTCGTCATCATCATCATCGCACTTCACTGAGACCTCATTAAGGTGAGAAAAAAACATATTTTTCAAAGGCTGACACTGATATTTGCAGGCAGTATGTTGACAGCTGATATTTTGTTTCATTAAAGTATTTTCAAACGCTTACATTTTCTGGCCAGAAAATTAGAGGTTTAACCTTGGCAGGATGTAAAAGCCTCTGAAACCTTCTGATCAGCGGCCCTGATTCAAGAGCGCCATTCTATATGCAGTCAAATAAAGGAGACTGAATGCTGCAATTAAATTAAAGATCATTAAAACAAAAGTTGCTCTCAAAATACGCTCTCTCCCCTCAAAGGCTTTCATTGTGGTGCTGTCGTTCATTCATCGACAATCCAACAAGCGCACTGACCTCTGAAGTTTTTTTCAGTGGTATTGTAATATATCTTCTGGCCACCAGTGGCAGCACAGAGCACAGTAATGCACAGCGATAACTCATGGCTCTACGGAAGGCAATGTTGGTCAGTTGGTGGGTCCGCCACTTTGGTGCAGGCTGAAATATCCTAACAGATGGATTACCATGACATTTTGTACAGACATTCGTGGTTCATGAATCCTACTGACGTTGGTGCTTCCTTGACTTTAACTCCAGCTTCGCCCCGGGATATTGACGTTTGTTAATTTGAGTAAAATCTCCCGACAGCTAACCCATGCATTGCCATGAAAGTTGGTGCAGACATTCATGTTCCTCTCAGGATGACTTGTAATCACTTTGGTGATCTTTTGACATTTCATCTAGCGCCTCATCAGGTTAAAATTTTAAATTGGCCCCACTTTCGACTCTTAAATTAAACTGCAAAACGAATGCCATTCCAATCAGACTCTACTGTACTCGTGCTAATTAGCTAATTATAGCATGCTAAGACACTACTTAGACGGTGAACATGGTAAACCTTACACCTGCTTAACTTCAACATGTTAGAATTGTCATTGTGAGCATGTGTTAGCCTGCTGATATAAGGATTTAGCTCAAAGCGCCGCTCTGCCTAAGTACAGGCTCACCGTGTGGCTGTGAGCTCCTGGTCTTATCTTAGTCCCTAAGATCAGCTACACTTGGTTAAGCTCCTTCCTTCCTAAATTCTTCCCATACTGAATTTTATGACCAACAAGTTCACGGTGATATATATTGATTCAACTCGGGCTGATTATTTTTGTTTTAGATTCTTGAAGGTGAGGACTTCAGATTGCTTCTTTTGTTGAGGAAGAGTCCAAAGATGATTCATTTAAGTGACATAAACATAACAGAGAAATATCCACTGTATTTGCTTTAGAAGTAGC